TTTACACTTTGGCTTTTGCCTTGTGCTGTAGTTTATCCTAATGCTTTTACCTGCCATACCCGACTGTGAGGTTCAGGTAATACTTGCAGGGGGAGAGAATGGGTTCATATGTGCTACTGACATCTATTTCTGTCGAGCCCTAGCATAATGCCACTCCATGAAGCAAAGAGCTTCATTCTGACTGCCTGTAGGAACTTGGTGGCAGAACCTGATGTGCTACTGCTGCATGGCAGTGCAGCTTGTTCTCAAAAGGGCCTGAAGAAGCACAGCACGATCTGAAAGTCATAAACTGTGATTTTCTATGGTTTTGACTCAGTGAAACAAATGTTGGTGGAAAACTCATTTTGTCTTCAGTAGCTGGCATAAATCAAAATTAGTCCGAAAAAAAAATGTGGGAGGGTTAGAGAAGCAAAACTGATCTTGCTTCTTTGAGACAAAAGACAACTTAGAGGTTTAATTTTTGAAATTATGTTTTCAAAAAGTGCTTAATGAAGCATTTTAATGAGAAAACAAACTTCGCATGAGCAGCCTATAAAGAACATTATTTTTGTTGCTCTGGTCCAATTTTGGAGAACATTTTAAAATTGAAAACAAACTTGAAGAAATGGAAGTGTAAACACCACTAAAATGCTTCTCAGAAAGGAATAAAATCACTATTTTTTGTGTGTTCATTATTGATTTTAGAATAATGCTTGAAAATTGTTTATGTTCTCTACTCGGAATGAACTGATGAATAAATTTCCTTTATTAAAAAGATGTAATTACTGCAAATGTTGTTTGACATTAAAATGTATGCATTTGTCAACAGTTCCATAATTTCACGTGGGAAGTGAGGTTCTATTGCATGCATGAATGGTTGGTGACTCTTTCATGACAACTACAGTAACGGTTTTTCTACTGTTTCCAGAATGATCATATCTTCATCTGTATCAGAGAAGTCTGGAAAAAATAGGAACATAAATATGAAGGCACTTTTAAAAGTTAAGGCTCTGGAGTCTTAACAGTCGCAGCTGACCTTTCATCTATTTTTTACTTTTGTATATTTCTGATTGCATAAAGAGACAAGTCACTGCAAAGAGATCTTGTCTTTCATTGAACCATAAAGACAGCTTCAAGTCATTGTCACTAGAGTAAGAGGGCCATTTTCAGTAAATGGAATTGCATAACTTTATTCTGAAACCAATCAGCTCAGCCTGCAAAGGCATTGAACAGAGCTTGGACTGGATGGTGCATTTGAAACATCTGTGGGGGCATCTGTCAGTTGACTGCAAAACAAATATCATTTTTTCATTCATGCATTATACAGCATAAAATAGCAAAAAAGGCAGACTACAAGCAATGGCCCATACAGTCTAGAAGCATGCAGTACCAAATGCTTAATACACAGATGTGAAACTTTCAGCTTGCAGCTACAAAATAAACTGTCCACCAAAACACCTTTTCTCTAAGTCATGACAGTTAGAGTATGTTTTATGTGCTAGGGCTTGAGGTTTGTAGCCTTTTCCCACTTCTTTTGCTACTCCCTAGTGTTTAGTGCTGGAATTCTCATATAACCAAAAGGAAAACATACCAGGCAGACATAACTGTAGTTTCACTGAAGCTTGTGCATCCTTTCAGATTTATACCAGCTGAGCACCCCTAGCCTGATTTCTAGCTCTATATAGCCTTTTTTCCCAAAGTTGCAATGACAAAGGAGCCTTTTAAAGGTGAGTGATCATCTCTGTTTGCATCTGACCACATTATTAATGGCTGAGTCTTCACATCTTTCCTTAGTAATTTGAAAAAAGTAAATCTGGGCTGTAGCCAAAATGACAATCAAGAAGAAGTAAAACACCTAGTAAGAAAAAATTTGTGATGACGACTGAGTTCTAGCTGTGACAGTTCACTGACAACATATTAGTTTTATATCTCTACCCCTTGCACCATCCTTTGTCTTCAAAAATACTCAGCAAACAATTCAGGGGAAGCAATTGACATATTCCCTAATGAGACAAGATAGTGTCCTGTAATGATGATGACAGCAAATTCACTAAGTGAACTGCAGTTTGAGAACTTTGGAAATTGATCAAACTGTGATTCCTTGATTGCTTACTTAATTGTCTGTTACAGTCTCTCTCTTGACCCTCCATATCCCAGTTGCTTTTGTCAGCACTTTGGTGACTGTGGGATTCTCTGTTAGCCCTGCAGGTTGTGAATATTTGAAGATAAGATTCTGGTTTGGGGATCTTATTTGATTTGCATTTAATATGTACTTTTGGCCAGCTAGCAAAGGGGGAATGTAGAGATCTTCTGGACTCCTACGGTGCTTTCTACATCAGGCTAATAAAATCATAGAATAGAATCATAGAATCGTTAGGTTTGGAAAGGTCCTTAAGATCAAGTTCCAACCCCCCTGCCATGGGCAGAGACACCTTACGCTAACTCATATCACCCAAGGCCTTGAACACTGCCAGGGTTTGAGCATTCACAACCTCCCTAGGCAACCCATTCCAGTGCCTCACCACCCTAACAGGAAAGAATTTCCTTCTTATATCCAATCTAAACTTCCTCTGTTTAAGTTTTAACCCATTACCCCTTGTCCTGTCACTACAGTCTCTAATGAAGAGTCCCTCTCCAGCATCCCTATAGGCCCCCTTCAGATACTGGAAGGCTGCTATGAGGTCTCCACGCAGCCTTCTCTTCTCCAGGCTGAACAGCCCCAACTTTCTCAGCCTATCTTCATACGGGAGGTGCTCCAGTCCCCTGATCATCCTTGTGGCCCTCCTCTGGACTTGTTCCAACAGTTCCATGTCCTTTTTATGTTGAGGACACCAGAACTGCACACAATACTCCAGGTGAGGTCTCACAAGAGCAGAGTAGAGTGGGCAGGATCACCTCTTTCGACCTGCTGGTCACGCTCCTTTTGATGCAGCCCAGGATACGGTTGGCAAATAACTGTAAAGAAGCAGCTTTCTGAAATCTATTTATATAGGATGGATACTAATTAAAGCACTGTCTCACCAGGTGCTGAGTACCTTAAGAAGCTTCTTAACTCTGGGAAGTGTAGTACTGTGTATGTTTAGCACTTAGTGATGTTCTGCCTGCTGAAGATGTCTGGTCAGAAGAGAAATGTACAAAGGAAGAGCATATTTTGGTGAATGGTACAAGTGATTTATTGGTGAGACTCTATTACATTTGTAGCCAGTTTAGGATCAGAGCTCCTAGAACTGTGATTCCATTTTGTTGGCAGAATTGAAGAAATGTCCAAATTCTATTAATACCTGAGTGGCGAAATACAGCATTCTTCAGAAGAGTAATCAGAAAAGGCTACTTCAAGCTTACTATTTAAGCCTTTCTGTAATTTATTTATTTATTTTTTTTTAGAGAAGCTATTTTTAAGGAATGAGGGGCAAGGAGGAATGTGAGTCCCTGTGCACACAGGAATAGAAGTGAGGAACTATTGCTGCTAGTGCAGAGCAATTGCTGGCTGCTGCAGGAGAGGCTAGGACTGCGTTTCAGAAGTGATGAGGAAGTGCTCTTCCTGCACTAAGTCTGCAAATGTCCTTCCAGATGAAAAGCACTGGGAGCTTTGCAGTTGTATTGATATAACAGATATGCCTTATCAAGTTTAACTGTGTTGCTCTTCTGCCCGAAGAGTTGAGGGGGCCTGGAAAAAAAGATTTGCAGTGGCTAACAAATGTGTTATTCACAAGTTCCCCTATCTCCCAGCCTGTGTAAGTCCTGTGCTGTAGAGTGTTCTATGAATGTGCCAATAGTATCTAAATAGTATCTCTTAAAATTAGGGGGTAAGAAAAGATAAATTTGACCTCATAGTAGCCAAAGATGATGTCCAAATATATTTCTGTATGTTCTGCTATTATGGGCACTGAAAAGCTTACTTGAAGATTAGGGGTAGTTCTGTTTGCTTGCATTTCAGTTACTGTATGTTCCAGATAATGCTGTCTCATAGGGAGAAAAAAGGAAGTCTTGATCTATGTGCTAAGTCAATCTGTGGTTTTTACTGTGTTTGCTGCCAATTAGGTGAACAGTCATAAGCTGCTACAAAGAATAACCTTGTCATTACAATCAGGTAAGTGTTTAAGTGGATGGAAAAAGAAATCAATCCTTCTGCAATGGGATTTAAGGTTACTGTTGTTCAAGATCCAGGTCATACATGTGACTTTCTGATATGACCTAACTGCCTCCCTGGGGGAGTTTTCTCTTTGCACCATCTGAAGTGACAGTTATGATATCTTGCCTGAAACAATGCCTAAATTACGAGGAATTATATTGGCCTGTGAGAGTTTTTCCTCCTGTTCTTGCTCTTGGTGACCTGCTGTGCCTGTTTAATTAACCACTTGGATTTCCATGGGCACTAATTTGACAAAAGAAGAACACTGATAAGCAGAGAGAAAGGGTTGTATTAAATAGTGCTAAAGCATAAAGATGTCACCAAGGATGGAGACTGTATCTGAGCTTGAGCTTTTCTGTTAGGGAACAGTGGCTTTTTTTGCTTGTTTTCATTTGGGTAGTAGATGGTGGTAGGGGCTTATAGCTATTTGTTACCAATATCCTGCAGGGAAGTTGGTTACTTAAAAATAATGTCATCTGTGTTGGCAAGAGTTGAGCACATGCCTATGTAGAAGATCATGTACACATGTGTATGTACATATGTCTTTGAAATACCAGTATGTGGATGCGTATATATATCACTCCGCAACTAGATGGTGGTACATTTGAAAGTTCATATCCATTTACTAAAGTGTTTACATACTTTAATCCAAAATAAGGCCAGTGTGTACATCTTTAAAGCCACAATCAATTAAGTTCAAGGAAGTAGTCAATTACATGCCTAATTTTGAGCATGGGCTTGGGTCCAAATGCAGTAAAATCTTTCACATGCTAATCAGCAGTGAAACAACAGTTTATTGTATGACAATGGTTAAAGCAGTACTCATGTATGAAACATATCTGAATGTTTTCTCCTTCTTTGTGATGCAATCACTCTCTCTCTTTTCAAGCTATCTATGAACAATCTTGTGAGGCTTATCGACACCAAGGGAAGACATCAGGTTTCTTCTACATCGATTCTGATGGAAGTGGACCTCTTGGACCACTCCGTGTTTTTTGCAATATAACAGGTAATGAACTAACCTTGTCTTCAGTGCTTTATGTTGGCTCTAATATGATTGTGAGATCTTCTTACTAGGACAATGATAGGCACAACAATAATACCGCTCAGTAGTGGGGAAAAAGCAGAGAACTGGTAGTCACTGAGGTTCAACTCTGAAATGTTTCTTTAAATAGGATCTAAGTAAAAGTAATTTTTAAACAAAGTTTGAAGGGCTGACCTTGTACTGTTGCTAAGTGGTATTTACAATGCCATTTGCACATTATAAAGGGCACTGCTGATATATTTTTCATAATAGCATCACTTTTAGTGAGAGGTTTATGTTTTTCCACTAAAGGTGCAGAAACTTAGAATTCAAACTTTCTTTTGTAATTGAATGACTTCTCTGCTTAACTAGAACACTAGATCTGAGAATGATTATTAAACTCCTTGCACTGAGCTAGCTGTAAACCCTTCCAGTCTGACATAAGCAGGAGTACCTCCTCTCAAATGAGTATGCTGCTTTTGCTGTCCCAGAGAATAGAAATCTTGATCATCCCGGGTACCTGTATGGAGGGGAAGGCATGATGTTCTTAGAAGGAGGGACATCAAAGGGCAAGTAGTGGAGCAAGAGCCTGGCAAGATGACCTATTGGTTGAGACTTTTTAACCTTACAGATATGTAGTTCTAAAAATAAAAGAAAAAACAAAACCAGACACAAAAGCATGTTTGGCAAACTCCCGCTTAAATGAGTCCTATTTTGTATATAGGACTGTCATGCAAGGCAATGAGAAAAGATTACATAGCCTGTATTGTGAATTGGGGTAGGTAGTAGAGTGCCCTTTCTGCTTTTTATTTCTTAAATGGAGAGGAAATTTCCTAGACTGTCTTCTGTTTGACATTTTTTGATTCCTATGGCCAGATGCAGATGAAAGAATATTTTATTACCCATTCTAAGCTGCTGATTCTGGTTGAGCTAATTTGCTACATATCACCTTCACACTGAGTCCCAAAAACTAAGGATGGAGGATATATATTCATATTTTATCCTTAATCCCCTTGTACTTAAAGTGTCTCAGATTAACTTTTCATTTTGATATAACTGGACAACTGTTATATTAATTAAATGCATGCCAGTTAATTATTATGTTTTTTATTCAAGTGCAACAAATATTTAATAAGATGTGCCTCCTTCACTGTGAATGTCGTAAGAATTGAAACAGTTTCACCTTTCTGTCGGAATATCCTTCCTTGATCTCCAGTATGGGAAATGTGCTCATTTTTATTATTTATCATATAAGTATGTGTGATCAAAACATTGTCAGTGCTTTTCATCTCTGCTGAAGAAGGATTTTTTACAAACTCCTTGCAGAAAGCATCTGCTTTCCTCAAATAAATTTTATCTGGCAGATATCCAGAATCATATGCCTGAATTTCTCTCTATCTGCAATGAACTTGCTGACTTTCTAATTTTATTTTGGTTACGAGAAAAGTGGAGATGGGGAAAACTGGCATAACCTTCTAGCCTGGAGAACTTTTTTGTATTTCTTCTTTTCCTCTACTTGTCTTATTTGTGGCAGGGGAAGCTTGTTTGTCACAGGCATCTCTATTATTTTTGTTGCATAGCAGAAGGCTGAGACACAGAAAGAAATTAGTATTTTACAGTTGTTCAGAGATTTTGAGGTACAATTGGGTTATGCTTCTGTATCATCTAAATATGGTTTGGGTGCATTAATTAGAAGAGCTCCTTTTCTCTCTGCGAACAGACCTTATTGATATATTAATAAAAACTGTTTACAGTAATAGATTATGTGCAAAGTATGGAAAAAAAAACCTTTATGCTTAAACTTACAAAGTTTAACCGTGACAAGTGCAAGGTCCTACACCTGGGTCAGAGCAATCCCAGGCACAGCTACAAAATGGGCAAAGATATTCAGAGCAGCTCTGCAGAGAAAGACTTGTGGGTGCTGGTTAATGAGAAACTGAACATGAGCTGGCAGTGTGCGCTCACAGCACGGAAAGCCAACCGTATCCTGGGCTGCACCAAAAGGAGTGTGACCAGCAGATCGAAGGAGGTGATCCTGCCCCTCTACTCTGCTCTTGTGAGACCTCACCTGGAGTATTGTGTGCAGTTCTGGTGTCCTCAACATAAAAAGGACATGGAACTGTTGGAACAAGTCCAGAGGAGGGCCACGAGGATGATCAGGGGACTGGAGCACCTCCCGTATGAAGATAGGCTGAGAAAGTTGGGGCCGTTCAGCCTGGAGAAGAGAAGGCTGCGTGGAGACCTCATAGCAGCCTTGCAGTATCTGAAGGGGGCCTATAGGGATGCTGGGGAGGGACTCTTCATTAGGGACTGTAGTGATAGGACAAGGGGTAATGGGTTAAAACTCAAACAGGGGAAGTTTAGATTGGATATAAGGAAGAAGTTCCTTACTGTAAGGTTGGTGAGGCACTGGAATGGGTTGCCCCATGCAATGAATAATTCAACTTGAAACTTACTACCATAGGATTTCAAGCGGGGCAATGTAACAGGGGAAAAAAGCAGGCTGGAAAAAGGCGCAGTCTTGTCTGATAGATTCAGAAAGTGCAATTAAACATGGAGGTTTAGTTGCAGTTCCCAGCTCAGGTGGCTGTGAGGCAAAGACTCCTGGGAAATGGGAATGAGTTTCAAGAAAACCTGCTGGTTTTCCTCACTTTCCTGGGTATCTGTTCACACCCCAAGACAGAGGTTGATTTTTGGTGTAAATGAAGCTTTGCTCTTACATTGGCAGTTCTTTTTGTATGCAGTTCAAGAAACAGTAATCTCTTTATGCCCAAAACATGTTCAGGCTGAAGAAATTGGAGATGAAATGGAAAATCCAGGAAATAACATATTTGATGTTCTTAGAAGTAGAGCTGCAGTGAGCTAGGAAATACAGTGCTTGAATCTGTGAAGGATGAGTTCATAGAAGGAATCAGAACGTCAGAGATGAGTAGCATCACTGCATTTAGAGAACAATGTTGCTCTTTAATGTTTACTTACATTTGTTTAAATTTCTAATTTTTGCCTGTTTAATTGATCCAAGTAGGGATCTCATTTGTAGCTAGTTATTAACCAGGGCAGTTATTAACCAGCTTTCTCACATATTGGTGTCTGCTTATAGGCATCCAATATGTGGATATAGGAAGTGTCAACATTACAAGTTAATTTATTGGCTGTGAACTCAGTGATTTCTCTGCAGCCTGTCAACTTTAACAGTGCACTGCTGAGTAAAAATTTTGAAGAAACCAGAAAATTGTGATTGTATGTGTTGAGAGGGATTTGGACAATCATAGAAAGACAAGGAGGGAGAGAGAAATGAAGGGAAATTTTTCAGAGAGAAAGGAGGAAAAAAGTATTATAAACATAAAGCCAGTTTTCAGCATGGTAAGAAATTTAATAGTGAAGTGTCACAGGACTTCTGCAGACACAAAAGTGGATAAATGTATTTATTCGCAGTCTGGAAAGGGGCTGAAAAAACAAGGTGACAAAAATTTTAGATGACATGCTATTATTGAAGTCGGTCAAGAAGAGGGAAGAGTGTCTGAAGCACTTTAGAAGGATCTTATCTTAAAGGTTATTTATTTCTAGCAAAAGTAAAATATGGTGTTGAAATAGGAGGTTGTCAGGAACAGTAATGTACTTAATTAAGGCATAGAAAGATATCTGTTCAAAGAGAGGCTAGAAGTAAATAATCCACAGCTATTCAGATTGGGAAGACCCAAGGTGAATGAACCACATTGACATAAGTTATGTTCATTTGCATATTCTTACAATAGGAATAAAGAGGAAGTTCAATGGCAGTGAAAGACAACAAACTAGATTAAAGAAAAAAAAAGGCAACACCTTATTAACATAATGTTGTTTTCATCTTCTATACCTGTTGTATGCAAAACAAAGTCACTTTCATAGGGAAATTCATCAATTGTAAGAAGCAATGAAGACTCTATGCTGTATATGCATTTGGATGGGGATGTAAACCAGACATATGTGGCCGAACCATGATCATATGTAACTGAATGTTATGAGAGAAACTATGAGGATTTGTGTGGGTCAGTGTAGGGATTAATACTTTGAGATGATTGTGTTCAGTGCCAAGAGAACAGAATGAACATTTCCAGTGGCATCTGCATATGAACGTGAACTACCTTTGCTTTTTTTATCTGGATTCTATGCCCACGCTTTTTTGCATAAAGTACAGAGAGGATGTATCCTGTCATGCTTTGGGGTAATGAACAACCACCAGTGCCAGGAAAGAAAATTTCCCTGTTGGCTGATTGATAATTAGCCCAGTTAAATTAATCTTTGCTTCCCACTGAAATGACGGATAACAGTCAATACAGAAAATGGCTAATGGACTATTTGAACCTCTGGTCTGACAGTCTTTCCATCATTGTGAGTGTTATTCTTTAGTTGCTTAGAAATCTATCGATCTGTCTGGAGTACTACTTAAATGCTAATAATCATATTCACTAGTACAAAGTCTATAGACATGCAGTCTACATCCATGTAGTTGTTTTGCTGCCCTGTATGAAAAGTGTTTGTAATCACCTTTCCTCATCTTCTGCCAGGTAAATTTTGCCCTTGATATTTGAAATAGTTACACTTTAGTCATTCTGTCACTGTAATTTCCTGATGCTGTTTTACTGTATGCAGACTCTAGGCTATCAAATCAATAATGCTTAGAAATTGCCATGACTAGATCAGTGATTAATTTTATCTTACTGGCTGTTGTCAGCCTCCTGGTTCAGCACCAGAAGAATGGCAGGTCTCCTACAGGCTCCACTTCTTTTCTGCAAGAATCATGCAAATGTCTGAGCCATCACAAGGCATATAAAACAGCAGGAAAGTGATTATGTTGAGTCTCTCAAAATTTACCTTAGATGAAGGAGACTGAGTCAGAGAAGACTACATTGTTGTCAGAAGTGTAGTGAGTGTAAGCACAGTGGAGACATGTCCATTTTACACTAGGAAGTAGTTCAACAACTTCCTCTTCACTGCTTGTTGAA